TTCTATCTGTAAATCACAACACATTTAATAATTTAACTACTACACAATCACAACACCAACACAGCACTAGGGCAGCCTCTCGTGGCAAATATATAGTACCCAGAGTTAATAATTATTACGGCGACAGAACAATTGGAAAACGTTTACCATACATGCTCAATAACCTACCACCTGAAATAACAAATCTAAATTCAAAATTTAAACTATTTGTTAAACATTTGGAAAGCCATTTTTTTGATAATAGCCCTTGAACAGAATATTTTATTTATATACAGTATATATAATATTTTATTTATATATGTATGTATTTTATGTAATTCTACACAAAAAAAAACCAGCGCACCCGCGGACAAACCAATTATATGGTTTTTGCGGGGCCATATTTGTGCATATTTTTTAATTTGTGTCATGTATTGTTTTCAATAAATAAATAAATAATAAATAAACTATTGAAGGATTTACCTCATATTTACACTTATGCCTTCTCCAGCGTCCATTAACAAGTACACATTTCCACTTGCGACCCTCTGAACAAGGAGCTCGGAGCTCGGCTTTGGAACACTCCGCTGCCAGACGCGCCGCCTTACCACTCGCTATGCTCGCAGCCGATTCTGTAATCATCATTGGAAAGAATAATCATCAGCTTGTCAATTGTCCTTCGTTGCTTTTAAGGGTTAATAAACTGTATGGTGTCTAAATATGAAAGGTTTTACAATATACTTGACTTACGTTCGTATAGTTTTGAGCCTGGTGTCAGAAAATCAAGCTGGTTAGAAGAGCTGCCTTCATCTGCGTCGAGTGCTTTCTCGAGATTTGCTTCCAGTATTGGGTTGTGACTCTCATTGGTAAGTAAAGGTTCTGATAATTTCTTCGACGCATCACTTGATTCCGCACTCTCCTGAAAGATTTAAATAAAAAGTTTTGTAAACTATTTATTTTAACGTTTTAAGGGACGAATTATAAAAACACTTACATTATCATCATCATCGTCGAGTTCCAAGAAGTCATCATCATCAGATTCATCATCGAAGTCCCCGCTTTCGGAGGAGACTTCCAGTGCTCGTGGTGTCGTCACCTTCTCGTTCATCTCTCGGCTGTACCAGTGAGCGCGCCTCTCCTCCGACAAATGCGCTTGAGTCTCACGACGACCAGAACTAAGGAAATTAGTCACTATTAACGGTTATTTTAATTGTAAAACAGCTCTGCATTAGTGTGCTCTGTACTCGATAGCGAAGAACCATTTCATTGCCATACACTTGTAGTGACCGTTATTGTGCTGAATACGACATAATACTACTATCAGTCTAGTTCCAGTAGTTAAAATATCAATCTAATAACCTAGATTTAGTATGAGAAATCTGAGAGCGATATTTGAATAACAATTAAACGACTTTTACACTAAAGTTAAAATTACCTTTCGACGAGGAATGTGTCTGGCCAGTGCGCGGCGGCCTGTCGTCTGCGGCGCGGCTGCAGCAGCGGTAGCAGCGAGCGGCCATCCATGTGCGGCGGCGGTGTTACACCCCCCATGTCCAGGAATGTCGGCGCCAGGTCGATGTTTAGTATTATATCGTCCACACTACAAGGATTTGGAGACATTAATAGAATTCAAAGAAGGAAGACAACATATTCGAGTATAAGGTACTGAAGTAAAAAGCTAAAAGTACATAAGACACGAAGTTGATAGAAGACAAGGATGTAGTCATGCTCTATGACATCATCAAATCTTAATCTAGCTAATTAGTTTTAAATATTTCATTTCTCATTTCGCTACGTGAAAGTTTTAAAAATAAAGCTAACATTGAGCGAAGAAGTGGATTGTTATTTTAACAAATAGCCGTGTTTATGGAAGCCCCGAGTTGATGTAACGTTTCTCCGCTAACGTTTTGCTAACAGAGATATGTTACAACTGTTTCTTCTTTTTTTAAGAATACTTATTTAACATTAAAATATTTTAATTTTGATAATGTGAATGCGTTTGATAAGTAGGTATCAAGTAAACATTATATATTTATTTATTTAATTACAATAAGTAAAAAAGTTAAAACAATGACTTACGAAACTACGTATTTATAGTTTGAAATATTGATTTAATTTTAAGGTAACTTATCTAAAAAATAGTTCTTACGTTTTCTTTTCATTTTAAATTTATTTTTACATTTGACAATCATATTGAAAAATCACAAAATGGGCATCTAGATTCTAGACTATACCAAATAAGTCAGGCAATATAAAAATACTATACTCACACAGTCCCAGGCTCCACACCAGGTCCTCGTACCAAGAAGGGCACTCTGATATCGAACTCGAAGGGAAAGCTCTTGCCCTTCACTAAACCGAACTGACCGAGATGATAGCCGTGGTCGGATGTATATACCAAATATGTATTATCCAGTTCGCCTAAAGCCTTTAACTCTTGGTACACTCTCTCCACCGCCTAAAAAAATATTAACCAAGATAAAATTAACAGTTGAATGTTATTTGTAATTTGTCTCTTCTTTAATTTATCACAAAATGTTGTCTTGGATACTCTCAAGCTTTAATCACTGTTCTAAGGCCTTATAAATTCCTTGCCAAGAGTTTTTATTACAGAAACACTTGTGCAAAAACATTGGAGTCCATTTCACTGTCTTTAAATTAAGAGGTAACATCATAACGAGTCTGCACAATTATTTCGGTAGTAAAAATCTTATTGCTGCACTGAAATAACCTAAATTGCATCAGCTGCTATCACTGAGGGTAATTAAACATGTCTGTATTCACTTTCCCATATTATATCTGCACTAAAGGACTCCCTTATCAATATCGAGTAATTAATGGTATAATTTAAATATCAAATTACCATATCAACGCTCTGTAGAGTCTGCAATCTCTTCGTCATCAGAAGGTCGGTGAACTGTCGATGTATGGGTTTCATCTTCTCCGTGACTCGCAGGATCCATTGCTTATCTGGATTCGGTGCCATGTCGTACGTCGGTGTGCTATAAAAACATGTAGAAAAAAATAATTAACTAGCTCTTGCCCGCGACTCCGACCGCGTGGAATTAAAACAACCAAAATTAAGTAGCCTATGTGTTCTAGACTATCCTCTAGATCTATACCAAAATTCATTGAAATCTGTTAGGCTGTTAAGGCTACAAACTCTAAAAAACGTACATCATCCATCCATCTAAACTTTCTCATTTATGATATTAGTATGAAGTATGATTTAGTAATATTTGGTACTCCTAATAAGGATCGGTATTCTTATGATGAAAATTCAAAACAAATACTTTGAAAAAATTGTAGCGGATCTAAAACTTTGATAATGATAAAAAATAAACAAAATATGAGGGTTTTTAGCAATACAATTAAAATTTGCACTTAAATTAGCTTTAGTAAAAAAAACCACACTAAACGGGAAATAAAACCGTTTAAAAACGCAACAATCGTAAACTTATACAAATAAGAGATAATAATTTTAATATATCCTAAAAAACTTTTACATTTAATAGTGAAGTTTATTGCATGATCATTTTAAATAAGATATTTAAAAACGCATACGTTTTTGTATATCTTATTACTCGTTTGTCGGCGCAGGACCTCCGGGACAGGTTTCGACCACACAGCTCGGGTTGAATATTTAACGTCCGGTCCAGCGTTCGATGCCGGCCGGCGCCGCACCGCAAGACTCGACGAATAAATACATGTAAAATGTTCAAATATATACTAGCTTTCGCCCTATACTCCGTCCGCGTGTAATAAAAAAACAATAGAAAGTAGTCTATATGTTCTTCTAGACCATGCTCTACATCTACGCGTAATTTCATCAAGATCCGTTCAGACCTTTAGGCTAACTATAAGAAAAATACATCTAAACTTTCGCATTTATAATGTTAGTGATATTTAAAGACTGAACCGTCTTAGATCTGAGATTCAAACAAAAAACAAAAGCAAAGTTTGTGTAGTTAACAAATGTTTTCATCCATTATTTGTAGGTTATGTCAATAATTGTAAGTTTATTTCACTAGTCATATTAAATAAGCAAATGAATCAAATATTCGTAGTTACAGATGTTAAAACTATTGCTTTATCGCTAATATCATTTTAGTTTAAATTTACTTCGTCTTCAGAGCAAATGATTTCATTTATCAAAACTTTTTAATAAAAAAACAAAACCGACTTCCAAACAAAATACACTAAAAACAAAACAAAATGCACTAAAAACAAAACAAAACACACCA